GAGGCAGTGGCCCATGAGTGGGCACAGCAGAACCTCTTTGGTCACTGCCTGATTATCAGTAGAGGGAGCTGGTGGAATTCTTGGGGCTCTGTCTTCTGAGCACTGACAGACAGTCCAGTGGGCAGGATCCGACCCCAGAGGAGAACAGGTTTGTAATTCTGCAGCACTAACTTCCGTGTTTTGGTGCGTGAATGACATGACTACTTTTAGCTGTAATTATAGTTCAAAGGAATAGAAAACTTCTAATTCAGGAACTTAGTCTTTCCCCACCCTCCAAACCAATTGCAGTTCATTAGGATGGCACAACATCTGTGAGTCTGAAGGACCTTGTGAAAGGAGCAGCTGCAGTAAAGTGCTGTATCTAGTGTAGACACCCTATGGCAGACAGGCATCTTGTAGGTGTGCACAGAATACAATCTCAGTTGTGTTGTTCCAGTGCGGTACCTTAAAAAAACCCTAAGAATTAATTAAATTGTAATTGGTGTTAACTGTTATTTTCTTCTGCTTTTCTCCATTAAATATTGCTCAGATTAAAAGGGATCATCTGTGGTCTGATTTATTCTTCAGCTATAATTTTTAATTGTTTTTTTCCTATTTTAATTTTTTAAATAATGTGTTGGGTTTTCTTTAATAGTTCTGTTCTATTAGAAATATGTGCCACTTTCGTATAACATTTTTGAGGTCTTGATGTACCCCATGAAAGAACATGACCTTGAAATATTTTGCATTATGGCTGAGTCATTTTAAGGGCCAGCTGGTAGCAAAACTTCAGTGCACTTAGTGTATATTGTTAAATGGACTTCAGAGTTCCAATTTAAATGTTGATAACAAAGGTTGTTGGAAAGGTGAGACTGCAGTTTGGGAAATCATCTTTTAAGAGTCTTGTGGTCATGTGTGCTTTTCTGTTTTGATTGTGATATCTGCAAAGGCAGCATGCTGCAGTGGTAACCTTTTATGATGTGGCACAACACTGGTAGATAGGGACAGAGCAACCTGGACTTATGCAAAGCATTTGACACTGTCCTGCCTGACATCCTGGCTGATTCCAGAGGTCAGACTGTATGAGCAATGCATGAAGCATATGCTAAGGAAACAAAATGGGCAATGGCATTTGCTGCTCTTCTGTTTTCTTTCCTTATTTTGTGCCTACAGATCTAAAATGCATGGTATGATAGAGGTAATCTTTTTTCTTTTTTGTTGGATTAGAGGTTCACTACTCACAGCATCACGTAAAGGTGCTTAATGACTGACTTTAGCACTACAAGAGCCAGAGACATAGTCATGGTATTTTTTGTTCCATGTTCTCAACTGGCTGCCTTCTACTGGACTGCTGGTTTACACAGGTTGCTGCAGGAGAGGGAAGACACTGGTGGCACACTGTGAGTCTGAGGACTGTCTGTTCATCACACCATGCCGTGCAGAGATCATACGCAGAGCTAACACCAGTTTTCTGATCCATGCAGCCATTACAAACATACGGCGTAGAACACAGAACGGTAATGCCTCATACTTGTTTAGCTTTTAACTTTAGAAGGAATGTCACACTTTTTGGGATAGAATCGAAATATAAGATGCAAACCTGTGTGTAAATAGTACAGTCCAAGGGAAACAAACTTTGGTTGGCCATTTCACGTGGCCAAGGCTTCACCCACAGGCTGTGGCAGAAATAGAAATAGGATTTGTTTGTCCTATGTCCTACTTTTATCATAATAACATTGTCGCAAGAATTAATGAATGCAGGCTACAACATGGGTTTTGTATGTCACCAGAAAACAGTTTTTGAAGTGGTTTACTTGATTGTAGAATGACATTACAGTAGCATTGCAAGTCTAGGGTCAGTAATAGTTGTTCTTAAGTAAGGTTTATGGGCTCTTCTTTAAAGAGAGGAATTTCTGTACACTCAGTGGTAGCTCTGCCCTGATTGTAAGCTTTTGAGTCTCCAAACTGGTTGGTTAAATGTCAAAACGTCTTCTGTTTCATCATTGCTGACTCCTTCTTAGGTCAGCATTATTACTAATAAATTAAGTCTTCTCTGTATGTGTCAATGTGCGTTGTTGCATGGAAGTGTGAGCGCTCACTTCAGGCTGACTTCTATGGTTCAGGTCAGTTTTCCGTCTCAAAGTGGTGGCAGAGACAGCAAGCAAGCACATGCATGCGTGTTACAGCTGTGTAAGGAGCAATTGCTATCATGCTCATGGCAGCAGGTCATTGGTCGTCCTCAGCAGTAGCTCATTAGTTCATCTGAGGAGCTGTGATGTAATTAATGAAAGTAATCTGGAAATTTTCTTCTGTCTGTGGCCAGGAGACCATAGGTACCAAGGACTTCAGGGGAGTCATGTGTCTATTTCAGCTGTGTCTCTTGGTCACTGTTGTGTCCTTCAGCAAACCATGGCTAGGGCTGGCTATAAGGCAACAAAAAGCAGCAGGACTGACCATTTGGAGGGTTGGAAGAAACGTTTTTCAGTAGAGCAACATCTTTCTGTCCATCTTTCTGGCATCTTTAAGTCACAAGCTTGCTTATATTTGCTCAGAAAACACTAATGTGGATGTTTTATCCTTTGTCTAGTTATAATGAAAGAGAACCTGTTCAGGTGTGACAATAATAAAAAAAACCCAAAGCAACAACAAAACATTGAGTTTCGGAAGGCTTGACAAGATTAACACTGGCTTTAGCCTAGACTTCTACTCTCTTTAATGACACTGGGTGCTGGGTTGCCTTTTAGTACGTGTTCACTGTCCAGGATAGGCATCAGAGCTACAGAAATCATCCTGTGAGAGACAAATAGTGCAGTTTCCCATGGGCCACAGGGAAACACCTCTAAGGGAGTAAGCAATTATCTAAATTCTCCAAGTACAAACACTGTGGTTCTTATATAGAAGACTCAAAACCCAATTCTGGTTTTGTTTGAACGAGTGTAAACTTAAATGTCTGATGGTGCGGGTGCATGCCACAAGCTGCAGTTTGGGCCTGCTCTTTCTCAGGTTGATCAGAAGCATGTGTACCCATTTTCTCAGGTTGATCAGAAGCATGTGTATGGGTACAGCTTGTCTGTGAGTGCATTTTGTTATTTAAAACTCAACATGCCTATGAGGCATCCCAAAATTCCACTGCTGCTCACTTTGCTAAGCAATAAAATTAGGATTTATGAAGCAAATAGGCATAAGAAGTAAAAAAGCTCAAGATTTTTTTAATATGTTTGATTCTGTATAGCAGAGTGATCTGAACTACTAAGTACTGTTGGGGGCTGTTGGTTCTAACTGCAACCTGCAATGCCCATACAATGCCCCAGATACCTTATCTAAATATAGAATGGATTAAAAAAATATACAAAGTTCTTCATGATGTAAAATTTTTCTCAATCAAGTATTTAGGAAACAAGATATATAAGTTATAAATAGAAGAGTTCTTAAATCTGTCTCCCACTAGCTGTATGTATGGCATGGTTGTTGAGGCAGGGAGAAGGGTGTTGGGTGGTGTTTTTTGTGGGGGAGTGGTTTGAGGGTTTTTTATCCTAACAAAATCAGGGGAGTTTTCAGTTGAGCGGCCATCTCCTTCTGCAGAGGAAACTTGCAGGATGATGTTTGTGCTTGTTTTAGTCATCAGAGGTGAAGTGCACAATGATGGCCAGCCCCTATCCTACAATGGGAGGATATTTCTCATGATGAAGGAAGCCTCCAAGGTCAGCAGCTACAATACCCGGAGAAGTTACATCACAAACCCACAGCTGCACCAGACTGCTCTTCCCTGCCCCTCCCTGCCTTTTCTCTTTGTGCACTCTCTCTCAGCTTAGGTGTTGCTCACATCTGTTGCAACAATACCATGGATCTGATTTGGGCTTGTGTTTATCGTGTTACTTAGCTGTTAAATGAGCTCCACCCCCCCCAACAAAGAAACCCAAATGAATATTTTTGAAAACATCTCACTATAGTCTTCTAATATCCTGTACACTCCCAAACTCGGTTTGTCTAGCTGCTGTTTTTGCAGTGAGAATTGTGTTGTACTGTACAGCAGCACCTTCCACATCTAGCCTGGGCCTGAGTGTCCTGGTACCTCCTGTCATGGGATGGCAGTGGGCATGGCAGCTCACACCTCTGAGCTGAGCTGTGTATGTGAAAGAGGAAGCTCTTGGTTATTTTAGCAAAATTTGCATGAGGGGAAAGAGAAGAGGCTAGATCTTAATTTTTATAAGTCATTTTGTATCTCCATTTACTATGCACATTGATGTTACTGGTACACGTAACACAGGTTGGAATCTGTTTCTCTATGGGATTTTTCATTTCTTGGGTGTTTCTATACATGGTATTTCAGTGCAAGGACTGTCTTTTATAAGCCTGCTGTTTTGAAGCAGTATTTTTCACCAGTGTTTGCTTGGTTTAGCGGTAACCAAGCCATTTACCAATTGGCTGTTAATCTGAATTCAGCTTGTCTTATAATGGCAACAACAAGGACACTCCTTAGAAGCCAACCTGTTTATTTTCCTTGTTTTTCAACCTCCTGGTGAAGTTTGCTCTTGTTCCATCAACAGGATAGCAAAGTGAAGGTTGCTCTACATACTCCTCATTGCTGTACACCTTATTCTGTTTATACCCAAAACTCTGACTCAGTACTGTTGAAGCCAGCTGAGTCTTTCCTTGGCTTCAGATCGTTCTGAATCAGTCTATAAACCTACAACTCAAAGCTGCTTCTAACAAAGAAAACCAAACCTTTTTCCTTCAGTTCCTAGTAGAACTTGTGTTGTGGTTTTAAGCCTGTTGTTCATGTCTAATCATGTTCACCAGTGATCATTCCAAGCACCATATATTAGGGTGAAATGACCTAGTATTCAATGTTTCCTTGATTGCATTTGGTTCGTCAACAATTACTGCAT